CAGCAGCGGGACTGGAAGTACTGCAGCTTTTGTTGTGTGGTTAGCCAACAGTCAGGGAAAATGTTGCCCACTTGCATGGCATACAAACAAGATCAAACGGGTCGTTCGCTCAACAATTGCTGCTGAGGCACTAAGTCTACAAGAAGGTCTTGAATATGGCTATTACTATAGACAGATGCTAGAGGATATTATGAAGCTTCAAAGTAACACCATACCAATAATTGCTTATGTTGACAACAAAAGTGTCATTGATGCTATACATTCCACCAAGTTAGTTGATGACAAGCGCCTGCGGGTTGACATAGCAGCCATCAATGAATCTTTGTCCAGGAATGAAGTAAAGGATGTACGATGGTGTCCGGGTAAATACCACCTTGCAGACTGCATGACCAAACGAGGAGCTTCTGGTTACAATCTGCTGGAAGTATTTCATGGAGGGCAATTTTCAGAAGAGTTTTATATAAACTGTAATCATATTAATTTAATTTCTGTAATCATATTAATTTATTTTATTAACTTCAACTCAAAAAGAAAAGAAAATATAATGAATGTTAATTTCATGTTCTACAACTCTTGTTTAAGTTAGAATACTCTTCTTTTAGAAACAACTTTTAGTGACGTCATTGTGACGTCATGACGTCGTGTTTTTGCTTAGTAACATCATGAGTATTATGATCTGTTGAATGATAATTGTGCAGTCATAATAAAGTGTAAATTATGCAGTGGTGTTGGCGTATTATATTTAGTGTTGGTGTTAACAGGATCATCAACACAATTGGTGGTCTCATCATTTTGGACAAAATTCATTACTCAATTAACAAAAACAACAACAACAATGTAAAATAATTTGATGGATGGTAATTTGAAAGTGGTGTAACTTAAATTTGTTTGCAAAACTTAACAAGAAATTGAGAGAACTTAAAAATCTGAGAAACTTTATAAAGAAAAGTTCATTTCCGCTTATCCTTTAAGAAATAGACGTGAAAACCATTTTAGAAAGATCTTTTATATTATTTTACTCAACATAGAATGGGCAAATGAGATTCAAAGATTGCAATTTGTATTTTTAAAATGACTAGTAAAATTCTACTCATACTCAGTTCTTTCCTGTAAATTTTCAGCCGAAAAAATCATTTTAACAAAATTCATGGGTTTACTTATAATACGCCTATTGCCTTTTTTATACATCATTGATATATAATTCAGGGTTAGGACATTAAGAGCAAAGACAGTTATATCCGGATCAACAATGATATGCTTCTATTTAATACTTTAAATGCTTCTATTTATTCTATGCATTAAAATGTATGAATATTTGAACAGAATATTTTATTGCTATCATATTGAACCAGTGTCATGTGTTTACAAAATTTATAGGAGAGGTATTTGATATTCTGTTACAATCGATATTTGAATACCTGATATTGATTTAGATTAATATCAATGCTGTTGAATTGAACTTTTTGACATCTTCATTTTCTGAAAACGATATTATCGATTTAACATTTTTTATTTTCTGTAAATATGTTTGCATATTTTATAGAACACGCAAGTTATTTTCTGAAAATTATCGTTCAAACAAAGCCGTTTAATTTTTGGTAAATAATAAAGTGGGTTATGGTTTAAAGAAGTCAGGCTGTATCAAACACACAAGATAATTCATTATGTACATGTTATGTACATTTGCGTCAATTACGTCTTGCTGGAATGAAATACAAACCTACAATTGTTTTTCGAAAAGCATAATTTGTAGACTGGTTGTATTTATGATTTAAAAATTACACGACTGCCACAATATCGTCTCAGATTATAAGTCAGTATATTGCAGTTATATAATGTCTCTTTCATTGTGTACCGGGTCTCCACTGCGTTGGTATCACCCAGAGCGCCGTAAGATCATATGAAAAAGTTTAGGATTTTGTTGGCAATAGCCTGCGTGCAATGCTCTTTCATTGTGCTCACAATGCACTGACGACGATGCGAAAGTATGCGCCGTCGCTTGACGTTCTTTGTGATAATAACGATGCAGTTGTGCAGCGCACACCTTGGCGTTCTCATTTTACTTTGGACTTTTGGGCACCGGAGACCGCCATATGATCTTTACAGTATTGTTGCGACGAAAAACTCTACCCAGCCAAACAAAACTGACATTGCATATCTTTATAATGACATGCTTTAATTAACGTTTGCCTATAAATCATTTACATGCATTTCTATTCATATGTAATAGGGCAAATAGTTATATGTTTGCTTGACTTAATTTGAGACTATAAAAACACTGGTATCATCTGTTCGGGCTGTCGGGTTTATTGTCACTCATTCAAAGTTCATATGTCGAGACACCTTGATGATTTCTACCTACCACACACATTTTCAGGCCAAATGTCAAGGTCACCGAGACCTGATATAACAAAACAAATTAACTGGCCATAAAGTGAGTGCATTTTATCGAGGGTTGATCGCATAACTTCAGTATCTTATGTCACGGTTCAGAACTGTTAACGATTTAGGGGAGAAGATATGTAAGCGGCCGGATAGCTCAGTAGGTAGAGCCGCGGTACGGTATTCCGAGGGTCCCGGGTTCGAGTCCCAGTTAGGCTGCACATTTTTCTCACCCTGTGACATTTGGCGCCCACGTGGGGTCGTGACTGGATAAAGCTCAGAGTTTAATTCACATTGCTCTGTAACTCTGTGAAATTCGAGGACGAATATAGCAGGGGAGTATGTCACGGTCCAGAACTGTTCACTTTTTAGGGGAAAAGATGTGTAAGCGGCCGGATAGCTCAGTCGGTAGAGCCGCGGTACGGTAATCCGAGGGTCCTAGGTTGGTTCGAGTCCCGGTCAGGCTGCACATTTTTCTCACCCTGTGACACTTGAATGAAATTTAGAGGACTACCAGCAGTTTTGTGATCAACCCTTTATATACAAAGGGATTTCATTCTTTCTATGTTGATAAATCTTGATATTTCTAGTCCTCAGGTGCTTTGTGACAAATTGTCTCCTTGTTAGGAATGGAATATTTCAAACAAACAAACAATTTCTATCATATACATGTATTTATTTATTTACTTTTCACATTTAAATCTTAGGAGATAAAGTTACCCCTATCATTAGAAAATAAAATTTGGGTTTTGCATTGTATGCCATCTTCAGATATATATCGACATGCACTATATTCATGTTTAGAAAACAATCTTGATTTTTCAGATCTTCATCATAATCAAGTACTGTATAGAAATGTCATAAAAATTGTAAATGATTTATTTATCATTATAAATATACATTTATCATTTCTTTGGCCTATTAGTGTATTTCCTGATGATTCAACTGAAACTGTCGGAAAATGGTTACACGAAAAAGTCTTCTTAATTAGCTGAATTTACAACTAGCAAAACATATAATTATTTCGCTTATTTATTAATAAGGAAAAACGCACCGCTTTTCAATACTTTATTTTTGTCCAAAAGGATTGAAATATTTCAAATTAATCGCAAAACATTTACTTTAGGAAATTGGCTGCTACTAATCAGTCTAGTTATTTGGTTGTTAAGCTAATGCAAAACGCTTAAATGCTCTTTGCAAATGCTTACTTAATTGAATAAAGCAACAAAAAGAATTGACGTATATTTAAATATCGTGTACAACATGTACAATAAGTCTTTGTGACTTTTAAATGTTATCATACAAAAATCAAAAATTCTATAATAAAATGTTAATAAAGCATGAAATCTCTACAATCACACGCATTCAAATACTGCACAAATTTCATAAACTGAAATTTGATAGTTCTTTATACAAATAACTTTAACAAGTTTTATTCAAATGAAAAATCATTACTGCAGCTCCTGAAAAATAATCTGCTTTACAAGTATTTATTCATAAATACTTTAATTTTATTTTCATGGAGTAGATAGAATAGAAATCTTCAAGGTTGCTGAAATTACCAAACGGTGTAGATGTAAAATACTATTCAAGTGAATACTATGTATGTGCTATCTGAAAACATAAAAAACAACAAAAATTCTCGACAAATGCACGAATATTTACTGACATGAACATATAACTCAACTAAGATAAAAATCTCAAAAATATAACAGTTAAAATTCTTACATAAATCAAGTGACACACTTAAATTGAAAAAAAATCTACAAAGGATAATGAAGAAATATTAAAATTAAAATGAAAATCAACTGCAACGATTGCAAAGCTTTCCATTTTCATTTTTGGGTTATTATGCACAATAAAAAGTTGATTCTTGAAAATAATGTACATTATGTAGGTTATTGGTCTAGACAAACATCAAGTGGTATACAAATATTGGAAAAATAATTCCAGTCTTGTCATGTAAAAAGAAAACGAAACTCTGTAGAGTCCCTTTCTAAAAACAAACAAATCACCCAAACAACAACAACAACAACAACAACAACAACAAAACCCCCGTACAAACCAAAAAAACAAGACCTGTCAAAGGAAAGCGGTCTCCATTTTTCTCAGTGCTGGATAGTTAAAGAAAATCGACATAGAAAAGGGGAATAATTCTGGAAATGTGATAAACAGACTTTCCTGCTCTTGATAGTCCTAAAATATTTCAAGTTTGAAAAGGCACTTTTTAATATTTTGAGTTAAAAAGGGAAATAATTAAGCAATAAAAGGCTTTCATGATTATCTGCCCCTTAGAAATGCATTTTAAATTTCAAAGGGAACAAGTCCTCCATATGTCTTAATTTTTTTTGTTGAGAATTATACCTAAACAAAAGGTTTCACAAAGAAATACAAAGTCAAAACGGGGGCATAACTTTAGAAATGAATAAAGAAATTTATTTATTAACCTTCTTTAAAATATTGTATTCCAACTTTTTCAAATAAAATATTAGTGTCAAAGTTAAATTATCTTTTAAAATGTCAGAATTTTATTCTATTCAAATACAAAAGTAATAAAAAAGACAAAACGATTCTTTAAAATTAATTTAAGTGCATTTTTTCAGTTATGTTTATTTTTCAGAAAATAGACTTTAACAGATAGGTTAACCAGGGCTAAAATGTAAGTTGAAAAGGGGCATAACTTTGCATTAAATCATTAATATTTAGGATTTTCTGCCATTTTGATCAGGCGACTTTGTATTACTGTAAACACGAATACCAAACTTGAAGGAATAGCATTGATAATGAACTCGCTCCTGGAGGAAAGCAACTTATACGTTTACATGCTTCGTTATGTAAAAGAGCCACGCCATAAGTCATTAATATAAAATATGCTTCGTGAACTAAGTAACTACGACATAGAAATGCAGAAATTTTGAATACCACCGACCGATCATTCGTGCTTTCCTTCCAGTATTATGTAATTTTTACATCCATTTCATGGCATTACTATAAATCATTCAAATCAAAGTTTGCCATATTATTTGCCTCCTCCGAATATGCAGCAAACCTAGCACCGTCCATTTCAGGAGCCAGTGAGTTTCCATCTGTCAGACGATGCTGATTGCCTCCTATCTCTTCTTTGCATTCAGGACATGCCCCCCTTTCCATAGCTCCACCACATTCTCCAATTGCATATATGTGATCTGAAATAAATCTAGATAGTAAATCACCAATGCTACATAATAAAATGTATTTGTTTACCTTTTACTCTAGTTATAACATTATCAAACTGAAATCTTGACGAAATAAATGTGTATTTACATCGGAAACATCAAGTAAAAATATATATATACATTGTACTTACTATTAGGACATTTGAACCAATGGCCTTTAGATAATCCCAAAGCTTTGACAATCTCTAATCGCTCTTCACCGCTGATTTCAAGTCCATCTATCTTTGTAAGGTCTTTGATTATATCAAATTCTTGTCTCACGCACTTTTGTAAATCTTCGGTATATCTTTCGTGCTTAAGCAAAATGTTTTCTATTTTCCTAATGCTTTCTAAAACTCTGTCTGAATTATCAAGGTCAATGACTGTTTCATTTAATTTTAGAGCCCTATTGTAATCATGACCTCTCTCTATCTCTCTTTGAAAATCATCAATTTCTTGCTCTGTTAGAGAATTTCTTTCATTTAATATATCTAACTTTAGCATTGAGTAAAACGATAGAAGGGCTTTCTCACTTTCGAGGCTGTGCGATTTCATTCCCTTCATTTTTCTGCTGATATCATCAAGTGCCTCGAAAATTGAAAGTTGATTCCTTATGGTAGCAATCTGAACTTCTGTCCACAATTTGCTTTTATCGTTTGACACTCTTGATTTGAGTAAATTTAAGCAACTGATTTTTGTTATATTATCATCATCATGGTTTTCCTCATTTCTACCAAATCCGAAACCTGACAAACTACCAAATCCGAAACCTGGCAACCTAAGATGTGATAAACGACCCTCTCGAAGTGGTGAACTTTGAATTGCTTTTTTAAGCTCATCTTGAAGTTTGTCGAGGGAAGTTTTCTTAACGTTAGCCTGCTTGACCATTTCGATTTGATGTAGATTTTCTTTTATCACGGACCCATATCTTAAGCATTTCCGTATTGGAGTTTTACATTTTGGACATCCTTTTAGCTGTATAGCTTCCTCATCTTGTTGAGCGTCCATATATGTATCCATAGCACTTGATTCAATGTTATGTCCGCAGTCCTCAAGATAAACAAATCTTGCACCTGGTTCGTCTTCATTGCCAAACAGTATCTCTGTAACAATTTCAAAATCACATACTCTGCAAAAGAATTCTGCACAAGGTTCACCACAGAAACCCATGCACGGATGACCGCATTGTAATAATTTATCACATGGTTCGTCGCACCTTGGTCTGTCACAAGGTTCGCTACACAGCTGAGAACATCTGAAATGCTGACATCTCCACTCACATGGCTCCAGGCACGGAACACATAATTCCCCGCAACTATTTTGGCATATACTGTGAACACACCTATTTTCACATTTTGCTGTACATGGTTGACAGTTGTTACAAACATCACTGCACTCATGACCACAGACAAGAATGCGCTTACAAGCTTTATTACATCGCATATGAAAACGGCCACAATTACAGTATCCACATGTTCCTTTGCAAAGATGACCGCATTTTAAAAGTGTTTGACATGATTCAGGACACTCTATATCATCGACAGGTTGGCAACAATCAGTTGAGATGGTATGACCACATCGCAACTCTCGATCTACCTTTTCTTTGCAATATTTTGTATGCTTCTCACCGCACAGCTGTGTGCATTTGTGACCACATGCTAAAATTGCTTCACAGAGCATTTGACAAATGAACTTTTCTGGTGGTAATGAACATTCGATCATTTGTTCGTGTCCACAATTTGGAACAACTTTACTGACAAGCACTCGACAAGGTCTACAAACTTCAAAACAGTAGTCAGGACATCTGTGATCTACACATATTGATTTTTGGCATGGCTTCATGCATTCGTACTGAATATGATCTTTGTCTTCGACATGACAAAACTTTGGACAAACATGACCGCAATTCAACCTAGTTTCACATTTTTTTGAACATCCCCCGTTAGGAGCTTTGTTGAAGTCCTTTCCTTCTTTTGCAACAATTGCGTCATCATTTGGATGGTTTTGGCAATACAACTTTAACTGATCACCGAACTTGCCTTGTGATCTCATATCACTAACAATAGATTTCCACAAATTTGAATTCAATGCTAGCTGAGTGAAATTTCCCATTAAATAAAATCCAATTTTGGCTCTTGACAAGGCTACGCATATACGGTTATCTATTTTAAGAAACCCTATTTTACTATCCTGATTGCTTCGAACCAACGAAAGAAGCACAATATCATTTTCCTCACCTTGATAGTTATCTACAACAGTCACCCTTACTCCCTCAAACTCATCACGAGGCATTTGTTTCCGCAAACACATCAATTGGCCAGTATAGGTAGTCAGCACTGTTATTTGATGTCTTTTGTAGCCCTGTAATAGCAGATAACGACACAATGCTGTGATATATAATGCTTCATGCAAATTTGAATAGCTTCTTAAGTCTTCGTTGCTTTCTTCTGAATGCCTGTGATCTATGAAGTATAGGTTAGACGAAATACCCTTTACATCAGGGTAGGACTTCACAATATCATGGTCTTTTAATTCGGGATAGATGTGCCTTATTATTTCAGCTATTTCCGGACGCATTCTGTGTTGCAATTTAAGGGTGTTAAATTGAATTCCGTTACTTACTATTCGTTCGAAAAGGGAAATATTAAGTTTGTATTTCACAGCAAGTTTGTAGACAGTTGGATTTGGTTTTAATTGTTTATGGTCTCCAATCAATATGAGATGCTGACATCCTTTGCTTAATGTTGTTACTACGTGCGCTTCGAGAACTTCAGCAGCTTCTTCTACAATAACTATTTTTGGCTCTATTTCACACAAGGTAGCTTGGTATTTTGCTGCACACGACGTCGTCATTCCAATAACTGTAGCATTTTGCATAATTTCCTTTTCCTGTTCAAGGATAAAGTCTCGATATCGTTCTGAGGCAGCCTCGAATTCCATTTTTTTACTTTCAATTTTACTGTAGATATTGTTACAAAGCTGTCGTAACCACATTCGGTAGAGTCGCCATCGATCTTTAAAATTCATGTTCCAAATATTTCCTATACGGTCCGCTTCTTCTCGACTCATTACCTCAGGTGCCATAATCATTACTTGAAGCCTCTCCTTTAAGCTTCTTCTGAAGTCTAATTCTGCTAGCAGCTCCGGGTTCATGTTGGTATCTTCTGGAATTATAATGTCTTCAACATAAAATGCAATGGTACTCATGCGTATTTTATTTATCAGTTTAGTTTCAGATCCAGATATTTTATAATTTTCATCCATTCCTTCAAGTAGACTTTTATTTCTTCTTTCAGATTGTTCATCATCTACACTTACAAACATCTTTTCATTTTTCTTCATTTTCGTTTGTCGTTTGGTTTCTTCTATTATGTGAGCAATGCCTAACCAATTCGCAATACTTGCCAAGTTACCTTCGGATTTTTTCCTTCTTTTTCGGGTGCGGTTTACGAGATTGTTATAGAAACGCCTACTCATTTCATGAAATAGATAATTTTCATGTACTATTTCACTCTGATACAATTCAAGTGACTTTGCCCACAAAGAAACATTACTTGAATTTTGTTCAAGTTCAGCCTTCAATTGCAATTGTACTGCTCTGTTGGTTTCCGCATAAGATTTACGGTAGGCCTTTAGACTGCAACGCTCTAGAATAGTGCTTTTACTTCGTCCTCCGACACGAACAATATCCCCTTTAAAAAAATTGTAAACTCCTTCAAGGAATTGATCCAATGCATGATTCGTGTAGCACACAATCAACATCGGCCTAACGGTTTTGTCAACTTTTGACTCCCCCCATAAGTGTATGTTATGTAGCAAAGCTTTTGTTATTTTCAGTCCAATATACGTTTTTCCTGTCCCCGGGGGTCCTTGAATGATTGAAAATTCTTTCGTCAGAGCTGTTTGCACTGCAGCATACTGAGACTCGTCTAAATTTAGGGTCTCTTTATCCGGCCAATTATGAGTATCTAGAATTTTCACTGCCTTTGCAGTTTCAGAAGCTTCCTTTAATGATTGTGCCCCGGGAATGCTTTGTTGCATCATGTAGTCCCTTTTTCTTGTCACATCTAGGTCTGGTAATCTCCTGGTATTTGATATTTTTGCATTTTGATCAACAAGAGAACTGAGGTCAAAAACTGTCTCTGTAGAAATATAAGCAGGTTTATCAACTTTGCTTTCACAGTGGACTATATACCTTTCAAATGGCATTCCGCCTGGTTTAATAGCTTGTAATCCTTTAAGGACATATTTGTAGGATTCAAAATAAGCTGATGTCTCTGCTATTTTAAATGATTGATGAAGGAAATCAGTTGTGTGAAATCCTCCATCTAATTGTATTGTAAATAATCCACGTGATATGTCTTCCTCATCTCTACCAACAACAGTTGCCAACGTTAAAGTTGCAAAATCGTCATTTGTTAAACAAAGCAGAGACCCATAGATTAGCCTTTTACTCACAGACCAATTTGTTTTACGGAGACGTGGTGTCATCTCTAACTTTAGCTGATAACAAAATCCACATTCAGTTATAATTGGTGAGTAAACCTTGGCATTATATATTTTGATATCTGAATTCGTTTTCTGTTGCCCTTTTTGCATTCCCATATTTGATTTGATATACTGTGAGATTCCTTCTCGTAAAGGTCCTACGAAATCCTCACGAAGAAGCCGGAATTGAACGTCTAAATAATGATCAAGATCATCATATCCTCCATTTAATTTGTTTGGCCTCAAAAATGGCTGAGCGGCACATTGTATCTCATTGGCACTTGGCGTTACCTGTATCAATCTAAAATCTTCCGGAGGTTGCAATTTGTCTTTACTACTTGATGTAGACATCAACAATTTTTCTGCGGTCTTTCTTCGCTCTGTCAAAATAGTGAACCTTATCTGAATATCTTTATCAAGGGCATGGCCGTCGTCATCTTTCATTTCAGCAAAAATTTGCTTAAGGACTTTGAAAACCCTTGACAAGAACTTGGCTGAAAACGGGTTTATTGTTATCTGTTTAACGACAATGTCAAGAATGTTTTTCAATATCTTTATGTGCTCAATCCGGTGTTCAGGGTTTTCTAAACGATCTTGGAGGTCAATAAGAAAAAGGCTCAACGTGTCGAAAAAGTCATTTTCTTTCAAAGTTTCATATAGCATAATCATGGCATTTGGTACCATTTCACATTCATATGCCTTGGCTAGTATTTCTAAAAATAGCTCAATATGTTCATTATTCATCTTTGCCTTTTGTATGCACTCTTTCAACGCAACTTCAGATTTTGTAAGCTCAATAAGAACATATTTTGACTCCTTTCCTATCAATCTCTTTAAAAAGATGTTTTGTCCAGGCTTTGATTTTCTGCTTCCGATCTTTTCAGTTTCAATCATATCGTATGAATTTTCACGATGTTTTTTTGGATGATCAAAAGGTTGTCGTCGTTCAACTTTATTGTCGGTTAAATCAGTGTCATTGTTTGAGTTGCCAAGCTTTCTATGTAATGGAAACATCTCTTCATTTGCAACCATTAACTCTAAGATAGTGTCTTCGTTTGAAGAATCGACATCAAAATCATCGTTATCTAATTCCAAACTATCTGTCTTTGTCTTAAAGTGCATACATTTATTGCTTATTGCCGGCTGCCGGTTGCTGTAGTTCTTGCTGGAATTTCTGTTACGCCGACTGATCCTCTGAACCTGAAAATGGTCCTTTTTGGACGCCATAAAGATTCCCGAAGAAACACATTTTGAAACGAAGAAGAAGGTTGTTTGAAATAAATGATTTAGGCCTTTCCTTTGCAATTTTTAGGTTTTTGCTTTGTTGTTCGAACTTTGCTGAACAGTGACAGTGGCACATTTATGTTCGTCATTCAAATGATTTAAGATTCAATCGAAACACCTCACATTAGGTTCTGGGGTAAAGGTTGTCCTCATGCTCTGGTCTTGGGTTTTTTAAGCCCAGAAACTTTTGCTTGCTTGCTATACGTTTTATTTACTTCAAAATCTTTCAGTGAGTCGGAATGGTCTTTGCCTGTTCTGTCTCTGTGCGATAATCCAAATGTGTAAGACGATTTGTTAAAATTAACCCTCTTTTTCTTCATTGTATGCTTTCCAGTGTGTTTTGGTGAAGGTAAAGTAGTGTGAGCTTTATCAGGATGAAAAGGCGAGTTCTTTACACTATGGGCAGAAGAAATATCCTGGATGCTCGTCTCAGAATGTGTAGACAATTTAGGAAACAGCACGTCAAAGTCTCCGGTTTCCATTTCAGCAAGGCCACTTACCTGTCCCCCTGCTTTTGTTTTTTTCCACATTTCTTTTCGTTTCATTAAACCAGTTCTAGTGTCTTTTACAGTTTAATAAACTTTTTCATATTCATTTTGTTTATGCACATTAAATTATAAAATGATTTCCATGGCCGTTTTCATTTGTCTGATCCAAGCAATATCACACAGAAATATTTCCAAAAAAGATACCATTATAAATGTTCAAATGTTCAATTTCTTGGATAGGTATTTCCAACTGTTATGTTGATTTTTTGGGGATCCTTTTTTTTTGGGAGAAAACTTTAAATTTTAACCAAACATTCATTGCTTTCCCAAATGTTTTACATTACCCAGTATCACTGTTTTTAAAAAGATTTTAAAAAAGTCTAAAAATTTTAAGTTTAAATCGGGAAAATATAAACTCCACGGTACCATTTTTTTAAAATTTTTGTACACTTTGCCAGAAGGGGATTTAAAAAAAGATAAATTTGTTTTTTGTATTTTAATATATGTTTTTGATTTGTTACACCCTTTAAGCGAAAATTTAATGTTTTCTATTACCCCAAAAGAAAATAAACTCACAAATCTACCCCAGTTTTTACAACTAAAAAAAATTTAAACAAAAAAAAAATTTTTTAAAATATAAATTTTTTTCCCTTTTTTTTGACCCAATTCAGAGGTAAAAAAGGGAAAAATCTATTATTTTTAAATTTTTTTCTATTTTTTTACCCAATTTTTTTATCAATAATTTACAATTTCTGAGTGCATTGTTGTAGAATAATGCACGGTTTGAGTTCAAATGCGTAGGAAATAATTACTAAGCATTTGAACGAAAAAGCGTGCATTATTATACTATAATGCACGAAAAATTAATATTTATATCCATTCTAAATCGTCAAGAAAAAAATATACTTTAAGTTGGGCTATAATTACGAGCGTACGTTTGGTGGTTAAATTTGTTTTCGCTTCAGAGTTTCCAAAAGAAACGTCCTTAAAAAGCTGTTCCAGTCGTTTGAAAATAACTGTCGTTAAGTATACCGTTTGCAGAAACATTTTGAGATTAACTGGTTTGCGACATTGAAATAGCGCTCTTGTTTTGACTGTTTTTGCACACGCTGTTTGGAGCTACATTGTGACGTCACATAAACAACTTTTTAAACGTCTGTAGAGCGTTAATGACTGAATTAAAGACATTGGTGTTCGATTTATAATAAAGTTAGACCATTTTCTATCATTCTCAATAGTTTTCAGAACAAAATTCAACAAAATTTTTTTTTTTTTTTTGCAAAATGGCACCTTCTTTGTTTATATAAGAGAAATCTCCGATAGTTTTAAAATGATTGATAAAGAATAAATTATTCAACAATTATTCAAATTAAATAATATAACTGATATCTGATACTTTGTGTACCGATTGCATATTTGCAACTGCTGTCGTTTGTATCAAATTTATATTTAATTCATCAATTCAGTAAATAAGACCTAGGGGATATGTATTTCTTTAAATAAAAATTATAAGCAATATATTTTGTCCCTCGCCTTTTCAAAGAAAAAAGGGGGGATATAAAAAAAGGGCTCCGTCCGCTTTTTTCCCCTTTCCTTTCCTTTCTGCCGCCCTTTCAAAACTTTCGTTTTCCGGCCCAATGACTTTGTCATTTATAAAAAGGAATCGGGAAATAATTTGGCAAAACATGTTTTTTTTTAAAAATAAGCCCAATTTTGCAGGCGCAAAAACCCAACCCTTCCCTTCGGGGCGAAAGGGGTTCGCACGGGGCTTCATTAAAGGGTCAACTTTTGTCTTTTTTGAGGGTATATGCGTGCCCCGGGCCCATAATTTTTTTTATCAAAAGGGATTTTGAAAATTTACTTCCCCACAATTTTTTTCAAAAATAAAAGAATTGTGTCTTTGGCGAAAAAATGGGTCACCTAGGGTTCCAAGGTCAAGGCCATTTGGGAGGTCAAAGTTTAAACATAGTCCTGTTTAAAAAGGGGTTGGGTCCAAAATTTTTTTAAATATATCAAAGGATTTTTAAAATACTTGGCCCAAAATTGTCACTAATAAACCAAGACGATGTGTCGTGCGCAACACCTTTGCATCCCTATCCCAAGGTCATGGTCACATTTCCAAAAAGGTCAAAGCATATTTACATAGTCTGTTTTAAGGTATAAAATTTTGTGTCCAGTTTTCCATAAACTTTTTTCATAGATCAAGGGATTTTTAAAAATACTTTTGCAAAATAATCACAATAATTTAAGCACAATATGTTCAGGCGCAAAACATGGGTCCCTATCTCCAAGGTCACACTGAGAGGTCAAAAGATTAACATAGTTCTGTAGAGGGTGTATTTTGTGTCCCATCTATAACTTTCTTCATAGTTCAAGGGATTTTGAAAAATACTTGGTACAAATAGTTTACAATTTATTAAGACGAGTATTCATGCACAACAACCTGCACCACTACCTCCGAGGTCAAGGTCACACTTAGAGAGGTCAAAGCTTAACATGATAGATTTTTAAATTCAGTGTTTCATTTTACTTCTTTAATAAATTTATTGTTGCATTTGCAGATCTAGCATTGATCATAATTTTGGACTGAAAGTCCTTAGATCTATACCTCAATCTTTTGAAATAGCATAATTTTATGCTTCATATAAAACTTCCTCGAGGCGGGGGACGTTGGTAGCTCTGTTACAAATCTTGTTGTATTTGTACTTTAAACCTATAAACATTCAGGATATGAATTTTATATCAAATCACGGCTAGTTCAGTATATAATTAAATATTAAGATTTATGACATGTTATATGGTCTTATATAAGCGGATGTTTGGAAATATAACCCGAGACGCTAGCCGTTGTTTTCAAGTTTGACCGTTGTTAATATCGTATAGAGACAGCGAGAATTTACAATTTTGGTCTATTTTTATCTTAACAGCTTCATATTATTTGAAATTGATGATTTAAACATTCGAAATATACAGTAATATTATACTTTTTCTTACCAAAAATTTCTTTTAATTTTAAAACCATTAGCAAAAATTAAACTTTAAAAAACCTGTTTTCCCTTCGTTTTCCCATTTACAAAAAGGTTTTAAAAAACTTGGAATCCCAATGCCTAAAGAAATGGCAGATGGGGTTTTCACGTTAGTTTTTTGTGACCCCAAATTTAAAGGCCCCACACAGAGGCTTTTTAAAAATTTTTTAAAAGTAAAATTTTTTAAATTTTCAAGAAGGGGGAACCCTTAAAAAAAAACCCCTTTCGGGGTTCCCCATTTAAATTTTTGGGTTTTGGCGGGTAAACTTTTTTTCCCCCTATAACATTTTTCCATTTTTAATGTAAAACTTAAACCCTTTTCGAATTATTTTTTTCCTTGTGTGCCCATCTTTCAAAAATTTCTTTCTCCCTTTGAACTTAGAATTTTCCATAAACATATTATTTTAACTGTAACTTCTTAATTTCTTAAGGGATCAACTTCATACTTGAAATATATGTTCCTTATAATTAACCATATCGCATGTTACAAGGCTCATAACGCTAACACCAATATTGCAAGAATAAGCTGAACTTGGATTTCTCTTACTTGAAAAATATTATTTCTACTATAACTTCCTTATTTTTAAAGGTATCTACCTCAAACTTCAAATACATATTCCTTATCATCAACCACATCTTATTTGACAAGGTTCATAACTCTTGAAGCAATATTTTTAGATTAATCTCCCTTTGAACTTAGAATTTTCTTTTAGAAATATTATAACTTCTTTATTTTTTTAAGGTATGTACTTTAAACTTCAAATTTATATTTCTTATCATTACACACATGTTGTGTGACAAGGTTCATAACTCTAGCGTGACCATTTCCAGAATTATTCCCCCCTTGAACTTAGAATTTATGTTAACAAATGTTTTTTTTTATACTAAAACTTCTTGTCATATAGATAAGAATTATAAAATGCATTTTATTTTGTTTGCCCAGAATTATCTACATTTAATTTTTGAACTTAGAATTCATTTATAAATTAATTGTTTTTAGTATCTTTGATATTACAAATGGTATCTACTCTAGACTTAATCTTTGTCATTACTCACATCATGCATGACAATGTTCATACCTCTTGCATCTTTTTTTAAGAGTTATTTCCACTTTATTTCCATTTTTTCTTTATAAACTTCAAATTCATTTTGCTCATTTTTTGGCTTTATTTTTTTTTTTTTATTTTATTTTTTTTTTTTTTCTTAACATTTTTTGTTTTTGAAGTGAAATTGACTTCAAATTTCAAGTTTACAATAATTGTATTTTGTGAAAAATTTGATGTTTTTTGCCATAGTTTTGTCATCCTTACTTCCGTTTCAGTATTTAATTAGTTCGAGCTTCAATGTCTTTTGTGACAGCTCTTCTTTTATTGTCCAGAGATATTAGTGTACTTTTTTTACTTTTCAGTAATCAGAGAAGGAGGGGAAA